ACACACACCCTCCCTTTCCCTCAGCTCGGATACCACACCTGTCCCTGGGTGTCTGCCTTTCCTCTCTCCACGCACAGTTTATGGGAAGCAGTGTCCCCACTCCCTCAAAGACCACGTTCCAGTTTTCTTGATCCCAACCTCCTCCTCTCTAGCAACAATAACTTCTCTGTCCCTTCACTACTAGGACAGGGCATGCTTTTTTTTCCCCCAAGGGCCAAGTAGTAAATATTTAGGCTTTGTGAGCACATGGTCTCTGTTAAACTATTCTGCTGTTACATAGACTATAAGCAGCCAGACAGTCCCCACAGTCCACTTACTGTTCCTCCAAGAGACTCCAAATGTGCCCCTGTGCTCGGCCACCAGCCAGGAATCTCCCTCTCCAGACAGGCTCCTGCCCCTCTGCTCATGGACACGTCTCAGCCCAGGCCTCCAGGTGGCCAAATCTAAAGCACACATCTGTTCTAACCTCTGTCCAACACACCTGCCCACCTCCTGAGAGCCATCATCTCTTGGATTCTTGGATACCATGCTCCCCTGGTCTCCCACCCCCTGGAGCCTATTTTCCGTCTGCTCTGCTGGTTCCTCCTCTTCTATCTGACTGCTAAATGCTGGAATCACCAGGTCACAACCTTGGTCCTCTTAATCAATACTCTGTTCTTAAGTGAGTCAACACAGTTTCATGGTATTAAATATACCTTCCAGCTGTTGCCTGGAAAACTTTCCTATCCAGCCCAGATTCTCTTGAGACTTGAGTACCGCCTGGGCATTTCCACCTGACCATCTAATAGACATTTCCAACTAAGCAAGCCTCTCCATCTGCTCCTGCATTTCAGTGAAGGCAGAGCCAGGTGAGTTCTCGTAGATTCCCTCTTCCTTATCCCTCTCAATCCATCAGCAAGTCCCGGCAGCTGCATCTCACACCTGCCCTCTGCACTCCCCACCCCCACAGCCATACCACTAGGCAAGGCTGTCACTACTGTCCTGGACAACTTCCCAACTGACCTCCTTGTTTCCCTCTGCCCCCACCACTCGTTCTCTATCCAGTAGCCGATGCAACAACCACAAACAAAATGAGAAAAGGTCACTCTTCTGCGGAAACCCTTCCCCGTGTACCTTGAGTAAAGTCACCAGCTAAGCCAGGTAGGTTTTGGTAACCACAGCCACACCACCCAGGCCAGTAGACAGAGCCGCTCTCTCTGCTCTGCTCCTCAGGGCTCCCCACCCACTGCTCTTAGGACTCTGAGTGGCCAACTCCACCTCTCTCTCCAGATCTCTGTTCCAGGGGCATCCTTGCCTCTTCACCAACCACAGCACTCACGTAATTCCAAAGAGCCTGTGAACGAGTTTACATGTTGACCAACTGGATCAAAACACTGGAGAAGGCAAACACTACAAGAAGGGTGCCTTGGGGACAATACTGGTGCATCACAGGAACCCAGTAAATATGGGATGAGTGAACTACAAATCATATGATGTGAAAACACCCATTGTGTCCACTGGAGACAGTTTTCTTCTTCCTATATGCTAAATTAGGTCACCATTCTATGCTAAGTTCCTGGAGTCCTTATTTGGTCCTCACCTGCTGTAACCTGGAACCCACATCTCCAGTGAAAACACAACACACCTGCTGACCCTATGGATAGAGTTGAATCAGGGAGGGGAGGTCACAGCAAACTACCTCAAGAGTGTCTGAGACTAATCCACACAGTGATGCTCTTGGGGAAGAAATGAGTGGTCACAGGGACTGAACTTACAACACACTGCAGTTCGTATAATGGATCTCTTTTAGCACTTCCATCAGACCTGTGTCCTGGAGTAGACTCAGTATCAAGTAAACACCCTATTTTTAGTTAATTTCCAATGTAACAGACCAAGCAACATTTTACACACCTTCCAATAACTCCTGACCATAAGAAGGATTAGAGTCAGAACAGTGGGAGCAGTGTCTCCAGGCACCAGCGGTCAGTCTTTTCCATTACCTTCACCTCCTGCTCCTCAGAGGCTCCCACTTTCAACCTGGGAGGTTTGGGGTGTTTCATTGCAATAACATAGCCTATTCACAAGGCATGCACCATCTTCCTAACTTCTCAGAGCCGAGAACCAGGATTTTATGTTATTCCCACTGCATTTCCTACAAATGCTAACTTTTAAACTCCCCTCCTGCCATTTTTCCTCTGGCCCTCTGTGGGGTCTGTCATTGGGGTGTGATAAGGCATGCCATGCTCCCAGATCTGATTCAGCTCTGGGTGGGGCTCAGGAATGTGCACTTCCCAACAGTGCCCAGGTGATATCAGGGCTGCTGTCGAGGGGCCTTGGAGGAACACAGACCTGTGTTCCAGTCCCAATCCAGTTCTCAATAGCTATGTCAGAGCCTCATGAATACAAGGGTGGTAACAGGGTCAACACTAGAGAGCTATCATACAAACTAGAGAAAATACAGGACAAAATGCCTGGCCCAGGGCAAATGCTCAAGAAAGGAGACATGCTCTCCTACCCGGAGCTACTGGTTCAGTTGCCTCAACAATCCTGGGAAGCACGGGGACCTGCTGGCCTAAAGCATCCTCTTACTTATAAAACTTAGTCGCAACCACAGAGCTTCAGAAGCTAGAATTCTGGAATTCTTCCCAGGCAATGTCTATCTGAACTTAATATTTCCCTTACAATGCAAACTTTGAACCATATTTCCCAAATCTTTAGACAATTATGAACACTCTGCTTCCCATACTTTTCCTATTTGCCTTCCATGATCTGCACTTACCACAGCTAAAATCAAATAATTAAGGAACATTCAGTCAATATGTGGTAAAAAACTGACAACTGTTCATCTTTTTTAAAAAGTTAAAAGAAAAAAAAAAGTTAAAAGCAGCAAAAGCTTACATATGTAAATTCACTTACATATAAAATAAAAAGACTGTGTGTGTGTGTGCAGAGAGGATCATAGAGAAAAAAAACAAATGAGTGAGTACATGCCTGGAAGGATAACTCTATATCAAGAAACGAAAAAATGCTCATCTCTGGATGGAATTACGGGTGACTATTATTCTCCATTTTAACTTCCCAGGGTATTCTAACTTCCTGTCCAACAGTGCACTGATGAACAATTCCACAGCTTGACCATGTGAGGTACAATAGGACAGACTGGGAAAAGTGCACAGGATCACACACCCTCTCACACTGCTCTGCCTGCCACAAACTCCTCACCACCTGTCCCATCTTACCCGTGTTCTCAGCTCCCACTTTAGACCCCTCCTCTACCTGGACTTCAGACTCTCCCTAACTCACTTTCTTCCTAGTCCTCCCCTCTGCCTTTCCCCACTTCTGGTTCTTGTTGTTCTCCTGCATAAGCTTTAAACACCTTGGAAAGAGTCTCCACCCCCCAAACCCCTCTCCAAAGCTCAGAGCCCCAATATCCCCAGAGTCTCCCTTATGCCACCTATAGGATAAACAAGATTACATCTTCACTGTTCAATAAAGGGGAAGAAGTTGCTCCTTCTCTACCCTTTGAGTGTTTCTTTTGGTCAGGAATGAAAAAAACTCAATGTTCAGATTTTACAGGGCACAGTCACCACCTGCTGACTCAGAGCTGTAAATAAACAGGGACCTCCAGAACCCAGGCAAGAGTCTCTTGTCAGGCACAGACTTTCCTAAAGGCGATGACAGAGCTCTTCACAATTCTTTCTCTGCTTTTTGTGTGTGAAATGTGTTAAGTTCTGCCCAACTCTACTCTCTTCCAGATGCCTTAAATGTACGTAATCTGCTCAAACAGTAATGAAACTGTTTTCTTCTCTCCCATACTAATACGGGTAGATCTGAGTTGAAAGAACATGTATTTCTCCAACATGCTGAGACCCTGACGTGTCATCCCCACTCAAGTCCCCCTTTTTTGTTCCTCATTTCAGGTCTGGTGTGCACAGTCTCGTATTTCCACACCTTCACTTCAGACCCTCCCTATTCTCCCAGCATCCCCTCCAGGTTCCCACCACCCACTCCAGGTCCCATCCATCCTATCCTGGTCTACACATCCCCTCCATGTTTCCTGCATCGCCCTTAGCCCTCAGCACTCCCCTAACCCCCAGCAACCCCACCAGGTCCCACCATCACCGGCAAATTACAGCATTCCTTCCAAGTCCCCATCATCTCCCTAGGCCTCCACCATCTCCCTAGCCAGGGCCTCTCCATCCCCTCCAGGTCCCCAGCATCCCTTAAAGACCCCCAGCATCCCTCAGATCCCACCTCTGGCCCTTGTACCTCTGTTAGCCCTGCCCACATCCCACCAACCTTCCGCAGTCCTTGAAGGTTAAGAAAGGAAAGAAGAGGGGTCCTTACCTCGCTGGTAGCGTCAGGAGGGGTTATGACGGAAGAGCACAAGCCCAGCTGCAGACTGGAGACACCGCTTACCTGAGTCGCTGGGAAGACGAGAAAACGGCGAGGCTCGGGGCCGGCACCGTTCGACCACCTGTGAAGCCCCAGGGTACCCGAAGCTGGGCCGCAGCCGCTGCAGGCCGTTCAGGTACCCGGCGGGCCGCAGCATGAAGCGAGCATGCGCGCAGGGCCTGGCTCGCCGTGTTTCAGGCTCCGGCAGGAACTCCGAGTGCAGACTCTTGGTTCCACTTGACTGCTCTGGGACTACCGCGGGCTTTGCCGTCTGTACTTCGCCGGTTTCTCCCTGGCCGGCTGTGGGCTGTGAGCCACGGACGCCCAGAGCGTTTACTCCGGAAGCAGATTTAGCGAACACTTCCTCTTTTCTCTTCCCAGTTTAAAGAGCAGAGACGTGAGAATGCGCGAGTGGGATTCTGGGCTTCCGCCCTTCTCCGGTCCACGGCCGGGAGGCCTCACCTGGCTGGTTCCACCGTCCGCACCAGCCCCTCCGTCCCCGCCGCTCCTTCGACATCCCCCGAGCCCCGCCCAGTCCCCAGCAGCCCTCCAGACTCCCCGTCCCCCCGCGGCAGACTCCCATCCCACGTTACCCTGCGCCCCGCGGACGCAAAACCTGGCCCGGGATGGACAGGGAGACGCGCGTGTTCGCCGAGAGCCACTTCAGAGGCCCCGAGGGGCGTCTCCCCAGCAGAGTTTGTCCGAAACTGGACCGCGTGGACTTCATCGAGAAGCCGGACTCCTTTTCCTACGCAGACTTTTTCAAGGGCTACCTGGTCCCCAACTTGCCGTGTGTTTTCTCCAGCGCCTTCACCGAGGACTGGGGTAGCAGGAGGCTCTGGGTGACACCCAGCGGAAAGCCCAACCTCGATTATCTGCTTCAGAACTATGGTAAGGACTGGGCAGGAGCACCCTGGAGTGCAAGCACAGGCCTAGACCCTGACCTAAGTCAGACGGTGAGGGCGCAAATGAGGAGAGCCACAGAGGGCTTGAGGGCGGCAGGGCATGAGAAGAATTCACCGGAGACGGTGTAGCAGTGAATTGGAGGGCGGACAGGGTCAGGGAGGATGGACAGGCTGGAGGACTCTCAGAAAAGTCTTTTGCCTGACCCTTTCCTTTCAGGAGACGTGGTTGTACCTGTTGCAAACTGTGGGGTCCAGGAATACAACTCCAACCCCAAAGAACACATGCCCCTCAGAGACTACATCAGCTACTGGAAAGAGTACATTCAGGGAAACTACTCCTCTTCACGGGGCTGTTTATATCTCAAAGACTGGCATCTGTGCAGGTAAAGGGGCCTGGAATACTGGTCACAGCACTCTTTCTCGGTTCTGAGTGAGCCCTGGCTGCACACACAGGAACTGAGCTTTAACCCATTTAGGAATTTAACTTGATCTCTTCAACCTGGTTGAAAGTATCATTCTCTCCAGTCATGGCCATCTCACTACGCCATCACAGGCTTGGCTGCTGTGAAGAATGTGGGCCTGGCAGAGGCGCATATGACTCTGGTTACCCACCTCTTCGTTGTCAGTTTTGCCCAGAACCTTCCTTGTCAACTTCACCTCCATCTAACTGGCAGCACCCAGCCTTTGCCTATCCTCTCAGGCACCCCTGGGACCAGCCTCCCGTGTCCAAACCTACTTCTCCAAGTCAGGCCTCTTGTCATTCATCTTGGTTGCTGCCAGTCTCCAGACTGCCCTGCCTCAGGTCCTGCACTCCACTGCTAGGCTCACTAAAGTCCAGATGAGCTTCCCAGCAGGACTGTGACCCTCCCATTTAAAAATCTCCATCACTAACAAGTAATGGCAACTGTTTAATGAGGCCTTCCAAGGTCTGTCCCCACCCACCACACACTTCTTCCACCTGGAGCGCTCGAAGGATGTTGTCCTGAGAAACATCTTGCTCATGTGGGCAACCCCACCCCGTCTATGGTGTTCCCGCTCTCTGAGGTGGTCCTCGGGTTTTGTAGCCATTTCCCCTGCCAGGGTTATGCTTTTCACAAGCAGAGAAGGGGTCCTACCCAGACCCCCACTCTGTGGCACAGGGCCTTGGTGCAGAGTAGGTGCTCATTTAATAAATGAGGGAACAATCGAGTTCTTGTTTCACTGACGCAGGAATTAAGACTCCCCCCCCGCCCCCGCAAAAAAAATGAATTCAGGCCCTTGTGCTTCCCAAGAGCAATCCAAGAGTACATGAAAGGCATCAGCAGCATCCTGCTCACAGCTTGCCTTGGTACTGCCTGCCACACAGTTTCTTACCTGGCAGACAGAAGCTAAGATGCAACCACACTCTGGCCTTGGCCTCAGGGATTCATATTCCAGCAGCCCAGATGGACTCATAGACTCAGATGCTCGTGTCCTGTGAATTTGTGCTTCAGATAACCAATGAGTGGCTTTTACATACTTATCCTAGAAACTTGTTCATTGTTTATTTGAAATTCAGTTTTGACAGAGTGTCTTGCATTTTCCTGGGCAGTCCAAAAATAAAAAGAGCAAAGGAAGAGCTGCATCAGGCAGGCAGGCAGCCACAGGGGAGAGAATATCTGAGCAGGGTTGTGAAGGGTGAGCAGGCGTCTGTTAGCGTACAGAGGCATGGCAGCGGCGGAATCTGCATGGTGTTGGGGAAACTACCAGTGGTTTGGTACTACTGAGGCTGTATCCTAGCATGGCCTCTGACCAACAGTGTTGTATGACTATGTAGCTGAATGTGCACTCTCCCTTGGGCTGGTTTAGAATGTTCCTCTATTTGGGATCCCATTGGTTGGGTTGTGGGGTGAACCAGGAGAGTGAGGGGTTGAGAGACAAGGCAGGAAGGACCTTGGTGTACCTGGGCTGTCCTCACATCTGGGCTTATGGCTTTGAATCTGCTTGATAGTCAGAGTCAGTGGTGTGGGTAAAAAAGTGGAAGCTCCCAAATTCGGGAAGCCATCATGATGCAAATGATGCCTTTATAACCCCAGCTCAGCCAGAGGCTGAAATCCTGGAATGGGTGTGAAAGGGGCCCTAAACATCTAGGTCACTGCCTGCACAAGTTGTTTAGGTTGTGTCATAGCACCCCCAAAACCATTTTATCTGCTTATATCTCTGGTTCAGTCATTTGGGCAGGGATCAGCTGGGGTCACTTGGGGCTGTAGTCATCTGGTGGCTGGGCTATGGCTGGATGGTCTGAGGTGGCCCCACTCCTGGTGGTTGGTGCTGACTCCAAAAGGCAGGTCAGGGTCATTCACATAATTTCAAAACTCTCATGATATTTCATGCACTCAGGATGTGGGTGCTGGGAGGTTGGCTTGTAGCCACTTACGCTGCAGCTTCATGCCACTTTCTAAAGGGACTTCTCGACAGAAGGCGTGTTCACCCTGCCCATATACTTCTCATCTGACTGGCTCAACGAGTATTGGGATGCCCTAGACGTGGATGACTACCGCTTCGTTTACATGGGGCCCACCGGCACTTGGTAACTGCCTGTCTCCTCCCATCCACCATCCTACACCCCTGTCCCCAGTCACTCTCCTGAACCTTCCTGTTGGTGCGTTGGCTCTTGCCCAGAGCCTCTCAGAGATCCCTGTTAGCCAAATGGAAAGAGCTCCTGCACCTCCTCTGTGATGTTCTGGGGTTGGGGAGGTTTGGCCCTCCCACCTGGCTCACAGGCCAGGTGTGAGAACTGGGGACCCCTGAGGCCTCTGAGCCTGGCCAGTCTATTCTGAAGAAGCAGAGCTCACATCCGAGCCACAAGGCACCAACAGGAGCTCTTGCACAGGTCGCCGTTCCATGCCGACATTTTCCGCTCCTTCAGCTGGTCCGTCAACATCTGCGGGAGGAAGAAGTGGCTCTTCTTCCCACCAGGGCAAGAAGACGCCCTGCGGGACCGTCATGGTGGCCTGCCCTACGACGTGACCTCCCCCAGTCTCCTGGACAGCCACCTGCACCCCACGCGAGATGGCTGTAGCCCGCCGCTGGAGGTCACGCAGGAGGCGGGCGAGATGGTGTTTGTGCCCAGTGGGTGGCACCACCAAGTCCACAACCTGGTAGGCGGGCACTCCACACCCACGGCCTGCGGCCGATGGGTCAGGGCCGCGGGCTGCGGGGCTGCCCGGGCTGCCCAACAGCTCTCCTTGCCTTCAGCACCTTCCCAAATGTGTCCTGCAGAGTGGGCAGGCTGTCCCTCTGGGAGAGCCTGGGTATGGGATGGGGCAGGCCATAGGCAAGACTGGTACTGCGTGTAGCCATGTTGGTTCCTGCACACAGCACTGCTGACGGCCCCCAGCCTCTCTGCCTCCGTACATGTTACTTTCTTGGGTGACAGTGGGCAAGGGGTCCCAGCCTTTGGGGAGCCCCACTCTGGGTTAATAATTGTGGATTAGGATGATCCCAGCCCCAGCTCCCTCTTCTCTGCTGGCTCCCACTGGGAGATCGGAGTGGCTCTTCCCAGCTGAGGAAGTCTGAGTGGATCTCAGGACAGGGGGAGGGGACAGTGCCCCCTGTGGGATCATGAGGACAGCCTGCGCCCTGCCCCTTCCAGGAGGACACCATCTCCATCAACCACAACTGGGTCAACGGCTGTAACCTGGCCAACATGTGGCACTTCCTGCAGCAGGAGCTCCGTGCCGTGCAGCAGGAGGTCATTGAGTGGAGGGACGCCATGCCTGACTGGCATCACCACTGCCAGGTGGGACAACTAGTCTGAGCAGTGGTGGGGGCACCGGACCAGTGAGGCTCGCCACAGCTACGTAGGAGTAGGACAAGGAGGTGGGTAGGGGCCCACCTGGGCCAGGACCACAGCTGGGGCAAGAATATGCTCACCAGGCCCGGGCCTCAGCCAGGGAAAGGTGTGGAAAAAAAACCCAGGGCAGCCTGCAACCTAAAGGGAGGTGTGGTCTCTGAGGTCAGAGCTGCAGTCTTAGGGGCCCAGTGGCAGCTAGGCCTACCTATGTGACTGAGGGTCTGGGACTTCCAGGCTGCAGGACTCAGACCCATTTGATCACTGGCCGACCCCCCGGTGTGTTGCTACATCCTCAAGGACGGGACTGTGTCAGGGCCCTTTGCAGCCTAGACTCGGTATGGGGTCAACAGAGCTTGCCCAGATCTATGAGTGAGCAGCAGCTCACTGGCTGTTTCTTTCTGACCCAGGTCATCATGAAGTCCTGCTCTGGGATTAATTTTGAAGAATTTTATCACTTCCTGAAGATCATTGCTGAAAGGAGGCTTCTCCTCCTTGCAAAGGGGATGAGCCCTGGCCAGGCAGAGGGTGGCGAGGACACTGGATTGGGCCCCCAGCAGGCCGCATTTGACATTGGCCGCATAGCTGAGGTGCTGGAGTCCGTGGTGGTCCACCCTGACTTCCAGAGGGTGGATACTAGTACATTCTCACCACGGCCAGAGGTACTACTGCGGCAGCTGAAAGAGGCTGTAGCTGCCACGACGACCCTCTAGTGCATGCTCTGAGGATTGGCTGAAGCACATCTTTGGGGGACGCTGGAGGCACCAGTGTGGAAGGCGGTCATCCTGCTCCAGAATCCCTTCTGGAAATAAAGCTCTGCCCTCCGGTGTGGCCTGGGACCTGTCACCTCCCCTTTGAACTGTCACTTGAGTGTCCCAGGCATAGTTCCTGCTCTTAGGGGTCTAGTATGTCCTGGCTCTCTTTTGGCATCCATGGGGCCCTGACACCTATCCAGAAGATCCAGGCTCCTTGTCCTTGTGAGGCTCAGCCAGGACTGGGAACTGGATCTTGTGAGGGGGTGCATGGGGAAGTGTTGGTCATTTGGACCCAGAGCAAGGAGGCTAGGAATGTGCTGGGGACTCGGGAGTGGGCGTGGCATGTGGCCAGGTTTACTTCCCCCCACCACCCTTCCCTGAGCAAAGGCTAGCACCCATGCTGACAGCCTCCTATCCTCAGCAGTGCAGGGCCCCCTCTGCAGTAGCACCACATGCCTGCATGAGTCCACACATCTCCCACTAGAAGAGGGCCCTCAGTGTAGGGTAGAGACTGGGGCCCAAGGTGGACCCAAGACCCAAGGCCTGTGTCTCCATCCCACATTGGAATCAGTGTTTAAATAGAGCGTTCCTTCCCTCTTCTGGCCTATGACCCTCCTCCCCAGCAGGATCCTGAGATGTCTTAGTCAGAGCTCCAGGCCTCGTGCTGTCCTTCATGCAGGTCTCCCAGATGTCATAAGTACATCATTCAGGTGCTCTTTGGGCCCTGGCAATAGGGCAAGGCAAAGTCTGTCCCCCTCCTGGTTGCTACAGCAATACCTTTCCCCTGCAGAGACTCTGAGCCCTCCCTTGCAGCTGCACACCCAGTGAGGGAGAATGCCTTGTCTGAGTTCTCCCTGCGGGTCAGGTAGGGCCCAAAGGCCAGCTGGAACCTGGGTCTCTTCCATGCTTCACACCATCCAACTTAACTCACTGCACACCCACTATTGGCCATCTAAAGTCACTTTGCAAACTGTTTGATTCAACAACCACTCTCTGGACTCATTCTGTCCTGTCCAGAGTTTATCATTGCACTCTTTTCACACTTGTCTGTACCATCCAGTTTCACTTGTTGCACACCTATATTATATGCAGTAGTCACAGCTTCAGGACTCTCCAGAGAAATGGAACCAATAGAATATATGTAGAAAGAGGTGTTAAGCATTGGTGAGTGAAATCTGTGTGATAGGCTGCAGACCCAGGGAAGAGCTGACATTGCAGTCTTGAGTCTAGAGGCTGGAAACTCAGGCAGGGCTTCTGTGATCCAATCTAAAGGCAGAGTTGATTCTTTGGGAAACCTGGGTCCTTTGCTGTTAAGATCTTAAACTGATTTGGTGATGTCTACCCACATTTTGGAGGATAATCTGCTTAAAATCTCTTGAGTTGAATGTTAATCACATTTTTAAAATGCCAACAACCTCCAGACACGCATTTAGCCAAATAACTGCATCATGACCTGACCACACTGGCATATGAGATGGACCATTGTAGTCACTCCTCACATATTCACTGGTCACTCTGCTTTATCCAGTGCTTAGTTCTTACATGCCCCTTCTGACATTCACCAGTATCTCCTTGTACACTCACTGTGTAATTAAAAAGCCAGTGACTGTCATTTCCAGGTCACTTTGCACATCTGTTTGCCATCTGGAGTCACTGCATACTCTCCATGTGCAGTTCACCAACCAGTCTATACGTGTGCATCCCACTTTCACTCCAGCAGACTCTTGTAGCATTTAACAATCGCTCCTCCCATGCTCACCATCAAATTTTCTATTCTCACACTACTGTGTGCCAGCCTATAAAGTCTTAATGCACACACACACTGGGGCCAGGTTATCAACTGCCCCTCATGCCCCTCACTCTTCCAGCTTCCCCTCCGACACAGCCATTGTGTGCCATTTAACAGTGCTTACACACTCACTGCAGAGCAGCTACTCTGCACGTTTCTGTGAATTTATCAGTCTTTCCTTGAACATTAATTCTGCACCATCCAGGTTCATCAATAATCAACTCCATTATGGTCATTATGTGTAGTTCAACCAACATTTGCTCTATCTTGCTCCTCCTGTGTCTTCTTGCACTCCCACTTGGATTTAACAGTCACTTGCACAAATCCTTTAGGGCCTGGCAGAGGTGAGCCCTACTGTGTGAGTGACAGAACCATCAGGAAGGAAAGGGTAACTCAGAATTGCCCCACAATTCTGTTTCTTGCCTTTAAAGGCTGTATATTCAGGGGAGGGAATTGAAAATACTTGACAGTATAATCTGAAGGCTGTGTAGGATCCCAGGGGCTCCCTCACTGTGCCTGACATTAACCCTTTCGTTTCTAATCCTAGGAGAAGCCTCAGGAGGGCACTCAGGTGAGGGCAGGGCAATGTGTGTTTCCCATCCAGGTTGGAAGCAGTCTAGTGTTTAACTGGTAGAGCTGTGTTGGTGCTGTCCATGGATTGTTGGTCCTGGTGGTATACCTCCTCCTTGCCTATCAGGCTGCATCTTTCAGCCCTTCGTACAGGAGAGGTTGACATCTCCATGACATGACCAAGCCCACATCATGGAGTGGCCATGATGTGCCTGATGCAGGACTGGGGACCATCTAGGACGTTTCTGTGTTAAAAGTTTGCAGCGATGCTGGGAATCCTTGTACACAGGCAGCAGGAGTGCTGGTAGAATGACATCACAAATCTTTCCCTGGAAAAGAAAGAAGCAGGAAAAGGAATCCTGAGGTCAGAGGAGTATTCCAACTTATGTGAAGTACTGACCTTGGGAAAGTGGGGTGATGGAAACTTGCCTGCTCTCAGTTTGTTTGCTAATAACCTTCCTCTGCTGCTGCGTTTTTCTTTTCCATGTTGTATGTTTTCTCTTTTTCACAAGTTTCTCCACTTAGGGCTTACAGAATTGCAGAGTTTGACCAACAGTTTCCTAATCGGTGGTCAAAAGATACCTCAGTAACAGAAGCAGAAAGCTCTCTCTCCCTGTAGAAATCTGCCATTGTCCTGGGGTAGGTAGTGATCCTGGCAAGAGTTAACTTTTAAAGATGCCTGCATTTCAGTGGTTGTTGCTGTGCCTGTGACAATACCTTCAGCTTCCAAATCCCCCAAGTTCTGAGGGGCTTTCTCAGCTCCTTGTCCAGTTTAATGATACTGAAACAAACATCTCGGTGAAAGATGTACGTGGACATGTCCTTCAGAGAAGGATAACTGGTGCTGCTTACTTCTTCCACATAGAATAAACTGATGGCCCTGCAAGACTTACTGAATGAGGAGTGAGAGTATCTGTCTCTTTTTAAACACAAAAAATGAAAGAACAGAATCACAACTCCTAGGCTATAGTTGAAAATGGGATTTTAATACAATATTCAAGTGCAGCTTTGGCTATTTATAACAATAGTAAACTTTTTTTTTTCACCTTTTATACAAAAAAGCAGTTACTGTCTCACCTCTGAAATCTTCCCACTGACCCCTTTTCCTGTGGTCTCGTAAGTCCTTGGTGCTTGGCACTTGCAGTGGCACCAGGCAACATCAGTGGGATGAAGATGAAGAGTAAGGTATGTGAAGTGGGGTCTCTCCTCTGCTGGGGGTAGGGAGTATGTAAGACTGTCACTTTCAGTGGGCCTTGATAGAATCTCTGAGATTCCATTAGCCTGAGAAAGTGGTGAGAGGTAGGACCAGGATCCCTGGGAAGGTCGTAGGCAGGTGCTGTGAAACAGGAGAGAACTGCAGTTGTCTGACCCAGTGGGTGAGTGAGGCTCTGGGGAGCCTGTGGGCACAGCTGGCAGTGAGTGGTACCTGTGAAGGGCACTGTACAGTATCTGGCAGCAGGCAGGGCACTGTGCCCATTGGCAGTGCTCAGCTAAAGTTAACCAGCCTTCTGGTTCCCAGAGAGCAGAAGGCTCCTAAGGCAATAAAGTCCATGGGAGGCCAGGTTAGCCTGTGAACTGCCCAGCCAGAAAAGAGGTTCAGTGGTGAGACAAGCCTGGAGGTGGCTTGGTCTGTCAGGTTGGGAGCACGGTGTCGGGTTGACCTGGGCCACTTCAGTCTGGAAGTTTTTAATTCATTCTGGAGAGGGTGATCCTGAGGCTGGCTACTGTCAGGAGTCGGAAGATGCCCTTTGTGAGCCAGAGAAAGAGCAAAGGCTAAAAACAGAGCAGAGATGAATATAATAAGAGAACAACGTAACAATGGAGAAAATCAACAAACTAAAGATTGTTTCTCTGGAGAAATGAGAAAATTGACAAACATTTAGATAAATTGACTAAGAAAAAGGTAGAGAAGACAACTAAAGTCAGAAACAAAGTTGGGGTTACCCAGAATGACCCTGGGTGTCCCATCCTGCTGCTGTTGCTTTGCTGAGTGCAGTGGGTACAGCCCATCCCACTGGTAAAGTCAGTGCTGTAACTATAATCCAGACAAGAAACCAGAGAACAGAACACAGTTTTGGATGTCATCACACAGCGGCTCCCTGGGCCCTTCATGGGGCAGAGAAGTGGGACATGCAGACACCAGGTGAGGTGAAAAGGACCTCAATCCTCTCTTGTCTCCATATTACCTTCCTCTGGCCCTGAATGTCCAGCTCACTCTTGAGACCTCACCAAGTCTGGGCAATAAACCTAGCTCCACTTCCAAATGAGGACCCCAAGCCTCCAGCAAAGATGGTCATGTCTCTGGACTTAACTGTTAGGAATTACATCTGGTTGTAAGTCACCCATGCCCTCAAGCTATTCTGCTTGGAGGATTGCCAGTGTCCTCAGCCCAGTGGGCCATCAGTGAAGGACCAAGTCCAAAAGATTACTTCTCTTGGAAGTGGAACACTTGGGGTCACTCCATGCATCCAACTTATAGAGGAGGAAACTAAAGATTTCTGTAGCCCCCTCCACACTAAAGGATTTTGCTCAGATGCCTATATCAGTAGACACAAGACCCCAGGCACTGTCCTGCCCAAGATGCTCTACGGGTGTCCCA